AATACATTTTTGGGTCTGATTGACCCTCCCCAAGAGAGCGGGAAGGGGAAAAAAATTCTTCGGGTCAGTGTGACCCCGAGGAGAGCTTGAGGGTTAAAAGCAGTGGCAATTTTCATTACACTGAAACTGGTGCACTTAATTTATAGTAATTTTGTTAGGTTTTTTTTTTATTGGTAGAGCAGTTAGGGACTACCACTGTTCTTTACATGTTAGAATCAAGTTTCTCTCAGTCATGCAACCATAGTTGAAAGGGCAATCCAAAAAATGCACTTGCAAATACTTGATTGATTATAAAACTAGAACCTGCCCCTGTTGTAGAGGTCGAGTTCTCCTGCCTGTAATGGTTTACTGAATGTCTCTATCAACTCTTCACCCCATTTCATGCCACTTGTGCTGGTTCAATTAAAGCCTTTGGCCAAAACAAAAAAAAAAATACAACAAATTTGAGACTGATGTAGTGTTGTGTTCCTGTGAATAAGATATTTTAAGTTTCCCCTCCTTGGCTTTCCTTTCATGCCCTTTCTCCTCCATCTCCTCCACCCCCTCCTTCCGTTGTCTCTCAGTCCCTGGCCTGGTTTCTCAGAGCGTTTGGTCCCGTGGGGTGGATGAGCGGTCGCACGGCAAGGATCAGACAGAGAAAGTGGAGGATGGAGGAGGAAAAAATGGCAATGCCATTTTATAGGGCACATTTTTGCTGAGAGGTGAAAAGCAGATGTAAAGAGACAGTGATCTTGTTTGAAGGTTAAAGCAAGTCAGAACAAGACGAGCAGAAAGTGATAGAAAGTTAAAAGGAAGGAAAGCACCACCACAGGTAAGATGTTTTTAGTTGTCGTCTCTTGCTTTCTTAGACAAATCCTTTTTGAAAGCTCATTTTATATAGCTAATCCCAAGTGACAAAACTAAACTACCTAATGGAAAATAATTGTCGATACAGAGGTACAAAACATGTAAGTGTTTAAGTAAGTATTATGCTAAACTTAAAGGAAAGAGTGAAAGGGTAAGAAATTTAGAAATTATTTTATTCTCTTAGAAATGTTACGGGACATAGGGATTCATATGTGATAGATGTGTTTTAAGGTATTAATTTTGTAATTTGCAATTTTTGTAATTACAACCATTTTGTAATTTGTAGACGGAAAATCCAAACTTCACTTTAAAAGTGCATTGTGTAACTCTTCTGGTGGAGGGCCTGTCATATGCTTTACACTATGGAGATTGCTTTGTCTGGAATGTTTCACAGTGTGGTATTAAACCTTTTACCAAACCAGACCAAGTTACAAGTCAGATCTTTGGAGAGGCAACCCGCTCTAGGTATTTTTGAGGTATAAAATTACCTTTAATTTTAATAAATGTAAGGTAGAGCTGTATAATGCCATGTTGTGGAACATTCCAGCCAGAGCAATGTCATATCCATAGAAACAAGCAGGTGATGGAACCCCAACCAAAAAGTTATAGTGCATCTTTAACATGACTAATTATGTACTTTACTGCAAAGCCCAGATAAGAAATGGAATAGTTTGATCAAAGCATAAGATTTAACCAAAGAGTTTTCAAAGTCTCTCTGGGTTTAGTACATGTAATATTGTGCCGTATAATTGCTCTTCCCACACTCTGGATGGACAGGGATACAGGAGGGGTCTTTGGACTGATAATTCCAGTGGGTGATTGTAGAGTTTTGAAAAGAGGCCCGGAAGAAAGCTATTTGGAAAGGGAGGGAGAGTGGGGGTACGATGAGTTTGGAGAGGAGAGAAAGAGGGGCACTATGGGCAAATGAAGAGGAGGATGAACTGAGAGGAGAAAAGAGAGTGAGAGGTAGCAGAAGGTCCCCGTGGTGCAGAGAGAGAGAGAGAGAGAGGGCCATTTTGAAACAGCCGTGACAAACATGTTGTAAAAAGCTCTAGTCTGATGCCAGCTTTCAGAGTCTCAGGGGAGAGAGGAGAGCAGCATCAGCATATGGTTTTATTTAGTATGACATTTAAGGTGCAGGTATACTGTACTGTAGGATGTTAGGGATGTTAGGGTTGTAAAAAAATGATCAGTATCTGCATTGAACCTTTCCAGAATAGTTAGTTGTCTTGAATAGCACTATATCTTTTTTTGATAAGATCTAGATATTTTTTTGTCATTGTGATCAACAGTGGTATTGATCCTCAAGCCTCAAGTTTGAAATGTACCGTAACAACGCGATTTACAATTTGCAAATGCTTTACAATAACTTATCAGCATTAGGAGTACAACACTTAAAAAGCATAGTGTTATTTCAGCATTGAAGCTCCATTTGAGCAGATACTCTCTTGAAGCCTGTACAACTAGGAATGCGCCGATCCAGCTTTTTCTGTGCCGGTATTATAGCCAAGTATCTGCGAATACCAATATCAACCGATACTGGGACAGAGACTGAAAATGTAATTTATTTCCTTTAATCATAAACAGAATGTGATGAAAAATCATCCAAATGGGGTTTGTAACTGTTATTTATGATTTAAAGTAACTATAGAAGAATAACTTTGGAAAAAATACACATTTAGTATTACAACGTGTTTTTAGCCAACATTGGCCAGTAAATCGTCTTATTATACCAATTTAAAGACTAAAATAGAGTATAGACTAAATCTTTATCTTTGAACATATATCCTATCCATCAATATTTCAGCGGGACTATAAGATACCAGTATCTTATTGGCGCATCCCCACTACAGACATTCAGATGCTTTGACGTAATATGAACGTACGAACAAAGCTTTTTTTGCTCTCTCATTTTGTCACAGTCGGCCATCCTCCCTCCATCCTCACCTCTGTCATCCACCACTCTAATCTCCCCCGTTTTCATTGGCCCATCATACGTAAGATGAGCTATTTTTACACCTGCCCCCCTCCTCTTCCTACCCTAGTACACATACCTACATTGTGGCTCAGGCAGGGTATTGTGGGTGAGTTTGTGTGTGTGTCCACCTTATTGAAGGTGGCGGTGCGGAAAGGGGTGAAAATCTAAGTAGCAGGGGTAAAATACAAATGACAGACCAAATAATAGAATGAGAGGATGAAAGGATACACGTGACGAAACAGGTTGAGGAAAAACAATGTATTTTTGGCATTGGAAGTGAATGAAAAGTAGGGGTGCTGGGCAATCTGCTGAAGAAGATTAACATGATTTTTTTTTCTCATTTTCAGCCATCTAAAGTTTCTGAATTTTTATCTTACACCAACAATACAGATTCTTAGTGCAATTTAACACAAAGAAATCTGTCTGAACTCTGCTCCTTTTTACTAACAGAGGATTAGCTGTAGACCTCTTGACCTCTACTAGTCCAAAACATAGCAGCAAGCTATAGGCCTGTGTAATATATTGCTGAAATAAATGTAGATGATAAAAGGGAATACTGAAACCAAACTATAACACAGAATTATTCTCCAAAAACTATTTTAAATGTGCAATATTGTTAAAAACATGAACTGCAATTGATTTAGCTTTATGGTGCACTGTGTAACTTTTTGGTTAAGGTTCGGTCACCTGCTTGTTTCTATGGTTATGTCATTGTGGGGGGTTCTACATGTATCTGTTGTGGACTGCTGAACAGTCCACAACAGTCCGTACTGAAACGTAAACTATAGGATTTATTGTGACAGGCCTAGGAAGATAAAAGCAGGTGAAGAGCACATCCACTGCATATCAACCTCGACATGTCCTTGAATGTAATGTCTGACGTCATCAGAGAATCGCCATCACGCTTTCTGTAGGGCAATAAGACATGTACATGCAGTCCTGCCTACAGATATTTGGGTTGAAGAGTGCACACTTGACCACAGCCACGGGGTAGAAACTCTACATATTATGAATTGAGTCATTTATATTCCCCCCTTCTCCTCCAGCAGTGTCTTTTATGTAGGAATGTGTGTGTCTGCATTTGTGACTTGCTCAAAGACGCTGGTTGGGACGTCATGATGTAATCCTAAGTCATGTGTCTTTTGTTTACGGGTGTAAGAGGAAAGCTAATGGAAAGGCTATTATGTGAGGTCATACCAGAGCAGATGTAAAACACAGATTTGCTAGAGGTTGGAATAATCATGTATTCAAATGGTTTTCAAACTGCTGGTTTGCACAGAATTAAAATGTGTGATGTCTGTTTAATATTGTGTATGTTGTTATTGACAATGCTTATTTGCTTAGATGTGGACTGACTATCAAAATATCAGTACTTGGAAATATGTAAAAATGTACTTTGAGTTTATCATTTACAGTAGAAATGCAAACGGAACTGAAAAAAACTAAAAAAAAAAAAAGAAATAGAACTATTTCTGCTCTGTTAGTTTTACGTTAATTAGAACCAATGCATTTAACACAATTTTTAACAAATTTCTGGTGGATTGACAATTATATCGTCTGAGTATGTTCAAATTACAATGTTAACATCACCCAACCTCACTCCCATAATGTTTTAAATCCATACCCTCTGACGTTTTCAGAGTCTTGAATATGATAATGTCAAACAGATGGTGGGCAAGATGCAATTTTTCTGTATTGTTTAGATTGTAAGAAACTCTAGAAGAAATCTGATCATATGTTATGATAAAGTCCATGGTGATCTCGTCAACAATAGACCCTATAGGCATATTGGAAATTTTATGTAATGTTTCTCTATGTACATGCTGAAAATGAGGCCATTAGTGGGACAATTATAATGGCTATAGAAATCAGATAGGTGACCTTGAAATTTGTCAATACTTTCTTGTAATATAAATAATGCGTTAGTTAATATATAGTGCTGACATACTTTTTTGACCCACTTTTACAAATGAAAAATGACCATGTGGGTCATTTATAAAATATACTTCAGGCTAAAATTCATGTTGTGTGTGTTTAATAATGTATGTGTGTGCCAATGTAAGTGAAGCAAAGTGATTTTTCTTTGGAAATTGTAGCTAAATCCATTTTAAACCTTTACTGCAGGTAGACTCCTCATATTACATCATTTTTAATAGTCACTATCGTCACTGTGCAGGTTCACGTGTCGCTATGACAACAGAAGCGGGCACTGAGACGGAGGTGAAGGAGAAAGCGGAGGAGTCAGCAGCTCAGCCCGACCAGATCGACCAATCAGAGAAGGCGCCCGAAGAGACCAAGGAAGTAGTCATCGCCGAGGGAGACAAGAAGGAGAAGGAGGGCAAAGGGATATCCCGATACCTGCCGTCATGGCTCAAGAAGCAGAAGTCCCAAACCCAGGTATGTACTATTCTATGTGCATGTAATTATAAAGAGACAGGATTTTATTGTTTAAATTCACCTGGTGCTTTTACAGACCTCACCCACTAAGGACGATCCGACATCAGATGAGGCTGTTGGCAACGAGACAGAGCAGAAGGAGGGGGCACCCCCAGAAGTGAACGGACACGCCGAAGAGGAGGAAGAGGAGAAGGAGGAAGAGAAAGAGAATTCAGAGCAAGTGAATCAAAAGGAGGCAGAACTGAAAGCAGATGTCAAGGAGGAGACTGAGGTATTTAATAATCTTTCTGGTTATAATTATTTGTTCTTAAATACATCTTAAATACAACTTAAATACAACACTCTAAAATACATTTTCTTAGAAATATAATTTACAGGCATACAGCAGGCCTAGACTACAGCATTGCAATAAAATTTTTCACTACTGACTTAAAAGACTGCAGATGAGTAAAGAATAAGATTTATAATCACACCTCAAACCGGTCTATTTATTTATTCATCAGCATTACGCACAATATTTACTTGATCCTGTCTGATTTTTTTTCTTTACAAAGGTAAAATATTTTCTCTGGTTTTGAACATCTAAAAAAAAAAAAAAAAAAAAAAAAAAAAAAAAAAAAGGGGGCATAGAGAAAGCAGTAACATTGTCACTTTCTCTGACTCAGAAAATCGTGACATTTTGAAAGGAGCACTACAAAAACCAATGGACTTAACTATTCTAGAGCAAATTATTGATAAATTATGATACATTATTATAATATTAGTTGTATTTGAATATCCAGAATCTTCATCACTCCATATTTTCACAAAATCTGTTTTTTGCACTATAGTTCCCCTCAGTTCAAATGCCTTAAATAACTGAATAAAACATTGCAGAGACTTCCGCATTGTATACAACATAGAGGACCATTCTCTCAGACACTCGCATTTCTGTCCAGTGATCACATTTAGACCACCCAGGCCCGCCCATTGACATCACTGTAGTCTCCACTCCAAAAATCCTGAAAAATAAACGCCTTAATTTTGTAAGTAGTCCATTTTGTTTTAGTGAACTCTGTTTAGCTCCAGACAAAGAATAGTGAGGGAGACCAGCTATAACTACACTTCGGACAGTTTTATTATGTCACAAACTTGATTATATGTTTACCCAGAGGGACTGCAGTCTGTAACCTTTTAATTGTTGCATTGTGGTCGTTTTTTCTTGTCAGACTGTGAGGGAAGAGAAAGTAGAGGAGGAGAAGAGCGAAGACAAGTGTGCAAAGGAGGAGACGAAGGCTGTCCCAGAAGGAGAGAAGACCGAAGAGCAGCAGAAGGAGCTAGTAAAAGAGACATCAGAGGCTCCTGCTGAAGGGGAGAAGGAGACCCAGACCTCACTTTTCCAGTCCCCCCTTAAACTAGTGAGGAAGAACAAGATGAAGCTGGTGGTGTGTCATGTGACGCTCCTGGATGGGACCGATTATACCTGTGAAGTGGAGGTGAGACAACCAAAACTGCACCATAGGTCTTGTGCGGTTGTTTTTTTTTTGTTTGTTTGTTGAAATCTGACAAATTTAATAATGATCTCATATATTTTATTGGTTATATAAAGTAGTACACAGCATTGTTACTGAAATAAATATATTAGGAGTGGAGCTGGCAGAAGGTTTTATGTAGCTGTAATGAAATTATTTTTTGTTTTGCTTGAAGTTGCATTATGTAGCTTTGCCTGTTTAAGGGTTGCCACTTGCTTGTCTCCATGGAGATGTTATTATTTTCCTAGGAATGTTTCACTGTATGGCATTAAAGCTTTTTTCCATTCACTCAGTTCCAATCATCTGCTTGCTCTATTGAGATACACAAGTCTAATGCCACTGTGGGGCATTCTAGGCAAAGCCATGACATCTCCATAGAGACAAGCAGGTTGCAGGCCCTCCCCAGAAAAGTTATAACATGATACACCTTCAAATAACCAGTTATTCTTGTTAAATAAATAAACCAATTAGCACAATATGTTTAGATCTTTAGACGATCTTGAGCAATATTGTCCGTCTGGTTTACTTTGGCAGGTCACCTAGGCAGTACGTAACCCCTGATGTAATGGTTAATACCAGTGTGCTTGTTTGCGGTAGAGCCATTTAACTTTCTGACTCAAAGTGAAGCGACGGCACAGGCAGGATCTGGTCCAATGGAGTTTGGGCGTGGTTTATGGGGGATAAATGCCGATCAAAGCAGAGCACACTGCAGGGGCTTGTCTAGTGCCCACCACACACACAAACATGGCAGATTACAGGGGTCCCACCAGATTAGAAGCTTGCATCTGCTGCCTAACAAGCACGTGGGCCATTATAGACCCCCCTCACATGCAAACAGGACCTCCCCACATCACATGCCCTTCACACTGGTATCACAGGTTTTAGGTGACACGTATAGGAATTTACAGAGCACTGTTTTCGTCATTCCACATTACACACACACTCACTTTGAACTGTATAAGTATTTGGGTTGTAGGCTTGTAGGTTTCAGCTTTGTGTTGCAGCATTTTGAGGACTTTTTACCCATTTATAAGATATACACATTAGTTTTAAATTAATCACTATAGCTACTGGCCTAATTTTTCATCATTCTGAAAGCCATGGATAGCCAAGATGGTTAGAAATTTAGACATAAAATCATGGCATTTTGAGCACTCCAGTAAGAATACATAGTAGTTATTAATATGCAGTGATGAGATGATGAGATGGCATAGATTGACATTGTCATTAACAAAGTTTTTTAGATTTTATAAAGTAGAGGTTTCTAAGTGTCTGTCTACCATAGACTGTATAAAGAAGATGTCGCTTGTAGCGTCCATAGCCGCTCAAATGAAGCTGGAGATGCTAACGATTACAGGGGCAAATTTGGAGCCAGACTTTATGCTATGAATAGGATTTTTTAAAATGACAAGATAGTGGAGAAGAAAAGAGGATCATATAGAGCGAGTTAATATGAACATTTTAAGACAAATATGATGTGGCTCACTACAGCAGTCACGCAGGGAGGGGCCACAATATTCCAATGCGAACTTCATATTTGGAACGTGGTGACTAGCGTGTTGGCTATGACCATTTATATATACAGTCTATGGTCTGTACCAACTGAGAGAGAAGTGTACATTTTTGTCTAGAGCATAGACTGTATAAAGAAGCAGACTATGGGAGTGTGGCATCACCCATAGCGTTCAGCTCCAGTCAGTTCCATATTAGGTAAAAGAATTTATTTACAGAAAAAATTGTGAAATAAGAACACCGGCATAATGTAGAGCGGGTTAAAATGAACATTTTAAGACCAAAATGATGAGGCTCATAACAACAGTTAGAGAGAGGTGTGACAGTTTTTCAGTGTAAAGTCAGCTCCCATGTTCACTTTTTATTTGGAACGTAGCGGCTGGCAGGTTAACTATAGCTACGGTGTATGTATGTGTATATATGTGTGATATATATATATATATAATATATATATATATATATATATATATATATATATATATATATATATATATATATATATATATATATATATATATATATATATATATATATATATATATATATATATATATATATATATATATATATATTATATATATATATATATATATACATACACACACACACACCTACCTACAGTCTATGGTCTAGAGTCATGACAAAGCCTCATCCTAAGCTACAGTATGGCATCACCCATCATCAGTGTGTGCCCATGTGTCTGTGGCAGTTTGAACAGTAGCTCTTTGTCTGTCAACAGATAACGCTGATACAGCAGCTCAGCACCATTGTCCTGGACTCACACACATCCATCCAGCCCTCCTGCTCTGGCATAGTTTGGTCGTGAGCGAGAGATGCACAATGCATTCCAGAGATTAAATTTTATTTTTTGGCACACACTCCCAACACGCAGTTTATATTTGTTCTAGAGATGTCACGATATCATAGTGTGATGTTATTATGAGAATGAATGTCACAATTTTCTGATTGATTATTGAGGTGACATAAAGTGCACTTCAGATTTTGGTTTACCTTTTTTAAGTATAGAAGAAATTGAAATGATCTTTTTTGCTTCTTACAATTACTATTTTGTTATGGATAAGAACTTGTTCAAAGCAAGCACTTGGTTGGTCACATGGGCTTTTCTAAGAATTTCATTAGTATTGGTTACAACAGGATTTAAGCATCTCATTGGAATTAACCTACACACAATAGAGTAGTATTTATAGGGAACACAGTTAAATAGTGAGCTAAAATATGCAACATACTTACTATAGAAAAATAATTGTTACTTGCTGTCCTAATAGGAATTGAGATTTGGCAAACAGGAAAACTCTAAAAAAAAATTGTAAAATCAGATGTGGTCTAATAAAACTGAACGGTCACATTCTTGAACCATGAAATTTCTGTCTCTGTATGTTTGCCTGTGCATTGGAGCAAGTATAGGAAAATACCACAAATATTTTAGTGTCCCTAGACATTAGAAAATGCATGCTTTCTTCCTCTCTTTTTGCAGTTTTTTGAAGCCTGTCTGTATGTCCATCTCTGAGAACTGCTGCTTGCTGAGAATAAGGAACAAATATGCAAACGTTTCATTCTTTCTTTTTTGTCCTCTCGTTTCTGTCTGACCTTTCATTTCTCTGTGGGGCTTTTGTTTCCTGAATATTTCCCTTTTTCAGAAATGAATGTGTGGTAAATGTCATAGTCGTAATTTTGGAGACGAAGCTTTTATCTAGTTTTTGAAGCATTGTGTCCTTATAGATGGAGATGGGTGGCTATACAAAAAGAACAAAGCAGATGTCAGTTCAAATATTCACAACTTTTAAATGAATCTACTTGCACTATAATATTTCTTTATGTAGTTCAACAGCTTCTTCTCACTTTTTGCGGAGGGAATTTCAAATTTAGGTACAATAAGGGGACAGTTATGGACATTTTTAGTGGGGCAGTAGGGCATTAATAATATCAGTGTGGCAGTTATTTATTTACATAGATTATACCAATCCATAGGTCGGACCTGTAACTTGGCTTTGTAACGTCAGCTGCTTGTTTCCATGGAGGTGGATACAATTAAGACTAATATTTTTTAACATACTAGGCAAAACCATAACATTTTCATGGAGAGAAGCAGGTGAGGGACCCTCGGCCATAAAAGTTACACACCGCACTTTTAATGAATGAACATATTGAATATAAATCTGTATGCCGATTTTCACTTTTGTATCGTCTTTTTTTTTTTTTTTTTTTTTTTTTGTAGAAACGAGTGAAAGGCCAGTACTTATTCTTCAAAGTTTGTGAGCACCTCAATCTGATGGAAAAGGATTACTTCGGCCTCACATATATAGACAACCATAACAATAAGGTATAGTATTTGTCCAATAACACAAAAACACATAACAGGTAGGGCTAGTTTCTTCAAATAACATCTAACCTCTTTTGTTTTCAGTGCTGGTTGGACCCCACTAAAGAAATCAAGCGACAGATCCGCAGTAAGTTTTATATTTCACCCTTTTGGGGTTACGTTACCAAGGTTTAAAAACGTGACAAAATGGGGTTGGATACATGACACTGGTTGATGGCAGTTGTGCCAGTAGTGGACACAAGCCAAAGGTTACCAGATAGTGATCATGCTGTTGCATTATTTATTGATCTTTTTATCAAGTGTGGTTAAAAGAAATGTGGCTCCTGTTGCCACACCTAACCTTTTGTTCATTGGCAAAATGCAGCAACTGAGAAGCAGCCAAAAAGAACAGCCATTTTAATGAAAGTCTATGGTATATGTAGTTTTTAACTTCTGAGTTTCACAAAGATCAGTTTCAATTTGTAGCATCTTATACTAGACATTTCATTATTGCTATTAAAATGTTGATTACTACATTTAAACAATGCTAGATTATGCTGCATAGACAAATTGTTATTAATGCAAAACTGGGCCTATCTCTGTTAGGGGTTGTTGATGAATGGCGAATGGAGCTTATCCCAGGAAGTCAGGTTTTAGTTGTGTTGCTCTTTTGAATGGCAGTTTGGCATTATAATTTGTTATCTTGGTGCATCAAATGAGTATTAAAATAACTTCTGAAAACTCAAGATGTACTGTATATTCTATAACAAGGATCTGATAATTTTCGTGCCTGAACTTACATAATATTCTTCGACATACTGGTATAGAATTTCAGATATATCCACCACAGTCTAAAGTCTTAAATCTACAAAGTCACATCACCCTAGCTCTTAAAATGTTATTTTGAAGGAAGTGAGAGTTTGGGTGTGTTCTGAATCCATAGGTTTACTGAGTGTCAGATGGTGTTTTAAGCGTGCATGCCTGTGTTTTGTGGCTGTCTGTGGCTGAGCCTGTGGTCCAAGGATCAGTGGAATGTAACAGACTGAGCAGGCTAACGGTATATATATATGTGCATGTGTTTGTGTGTGTGTTTAGGAGCGCCATGTGTGTCTGCCTTTATATGAGAGAGTGCATGCATTTGGGGCCAAATGAGTCTCTCTTTAACTCTCTCTCCAACTGCTAAAACTGTCTCAAGCTTTAACACATGAACACAGTTGTTGTGTAGTTCCCATTTCCTAAACCATAACTTGATAACATTACAGGTTAGGGCTGCACAATTTTGAAAAAAAAAAAAAAATCTAATCACGATCTCATTTCTTACCAGAAAAAAAAAAATGCAGTTAGGATCACAATACGTTTAAAAAATACGACCGTTCAGAGTGCACATTGTTATTAACATTTGAGAGAAAACTGAAATATGAGGTTATAAACGAAAGAAGAATTTTAAAATAAAAATACATTTTATTCTTGCAGAGAACAATCTATACTCTTAATAAATGCGGCCTTTATGAATTGATAATTGCGCCAACTAAAATAGCAGAAATGGCTATTGTAATATGTTGTGCAGTATGCCCTATTATCGTTCAAGTTGTTTTGATTTAATCTGAAATAGGTTTGAAATTAGGGTTATGGATTAAGAAAGGTTGAGAAGGTAGATAAAATGTACTAAATGATAATTTCCTATGCTTTGCCTGTCAACCTTGTCTAGCTATGTTTTTGGTGATCTGAATTATGAAAATATATAGTCAATTAAATAAAAATTATACTTTGTTTATGGCGATATATAAAATACATACAATTTAATACAACTAATTAAAACTCTATAAGGAGTTGATAAGAATCCAATTCGTTCATCACACTAATAAACTCCCTGAGCCCTTAAATGCTGCTCTTGGCCGGAGCACACTTTAAATTCAACCGAAGGAGACAGGGATTTGGCCCAGAAGCCCTGGATTTGGTCCAGTTACCTTTCCAGCGTGTGTGATGGTTAAAGTTTAACTCAAGCACTCGTGTCACCTTTTAACCTCTTCTAACCTTCTGAGACAACACAGTTTTAACATAATGAAACTGCAGTCTTTTATGTATACATACTTCTGTATTGTATTGATAGATAGAATTAAATTTTCTATAATTCTGTAATCCACGCTTGAACAGGCAGTTTCTCACAAAGTAAGTCTGAAAAGCCCAATGGAAAAAAAAAAAATCCAACCGTACAATTGAGTTTAAATAAGGCCATTTCGATTTAGTTCCTCTTATTGGTTGTTGAACATATATTCTTTGCACACATGGAAATCAAAACATCCAAACAAATAACAGATTAGCTCCTGGAATTTTCAAAAAATAAAATGTATAATGGCTGTACATAGTCTTTTAGTTTATGTATAATGTAAACCTATTGAAAATGTGACTTGAATAGCCCAATCTGCTACCTACTTGTGTTACTTGTTAAAGTGATGAGCGAAAGAAGCAAATACACAAATATAATGCCTTTTTATAAGAAGAAAACCTGAGCATTGAAGTCGGGGGATTTACTGTGCTCTGTGGGGAGAATAGATGTTTGTTTAGAAACAGGAAGTGGCCACAGGGGAGAATCCAAGCACTGAACATTGGGAAGAGCACCAGCCAATCTCCCGAAATACAAATCTAATATACTAGGGTGAGAAAGACTGTTTATTGAGCTGCTTGATTATGGAAAAAACAAAGCAACTATTGTTATTGTTATTATTTGGTCATAATTTCTGTATTTTCAAATGTTACGCCACAAAGGAAATAATACACATACATACTATTTACTATGGATTGTTTTATGATTAATCTGAAGAGAATGAGTACTCACATTGTATAAGAAGGATAGGAAGGAAAAAAGGAATTTTACATTTTTTTTATTTTTATTTATTGCAGTTCATAATAATAAAATATTATTCACTGAACACAATGTGAATTTAATGCTTTAGTTGCTTGTCTTCATAATTTTTGTAATTGTTTGGAATATAAGTGAAATCCTGACTAAAATGTGATTTTTCAGATTACATCTAATATATACTGCCTGTTTTGCATATTCATGGGATGAGTCATTGTATTCATTTATGCATAAAAGATAGAGCAGTCTGTCGGTGACCTTGAAGGAGGAAATTATTTTGTAGTGATGTTAGCTCCCAGTGGGCATTCTTTTGCTACATTAGTTTTATTGTATTGAATGCGCAAAGATATCCCTGGATGTGGCATGTTTGGTGATGTCTTATGATTTTGAATATGATGGACGATTAAGATTAGTGTTAGATTAGTATTTATTTTTCACAGTCAGAAAAAGGTTATGTAATGGTCTGCTGCATGTTTGTGTGTGTATTTGAATGCTATGCAGTAGGATTACTGCATCTAAAAGCTGTTCTGAATTAGTTGCCCTCATTCACACCCAGCTCAGTTTTTCTCAGCCCCCTACTGCTGTTATTCCCAATATTTCTTACCAAAATGGGTGATAAATATTTAAACATGAATGTGGAAGTTGAAATTTTGTGTGTTGTTGTTTGTGAGTTTATTGTATTTATATATATATATATATTTTATTTTTTTTCAGGCAACAACTGGCAGTTTTCTTTCAATGTGAAGTTCTACCCTCCCGATCCCTCACTGCTCACAGAAGATCTTACAAGGTATTTGCACAAAAAGGCAAGAGGTGGAAGGTATGGCAAAAATATATAATACATTTGACAAGCCAGATCATGATTTCATTTTTAATACCAACAGGAGGTAATGATCAAACTTTATTTATGCTTCATGATGCCTCATGATCTACTTAATCTACTTTATCTTCTTCTTATGAAAGTTCACTCTTGGCTGTAATTGGCTAAATGGCTCTGTCAGTCACTCAGACCATGACAAAAGTTAACCAATAGGAAGAGAGGGTGGGGGAAAGTAGATGGCGTGAATCAGCCATACCTTTCCTGAAGTTTTAGAATGGTCTTAATCTCACCACACATGATAATAGTAAAGATTTTTTTTTTTAAATTGAAATGACTGTTTATTCATTCTATAGTCTAAAGACTGTTTTTATTATCTGTGTGCAATGTAAATGGATTTCATCAACCAGTTGTCACAAAAAAAAAAAAAAAACAGTTTAAAATCTCTGCCCCTTGAATTTATTCATGTTTTTGCATGACACTACTACTAGTACGCATACATATTCATGCTCATTACACGTGGTTGGCTGGAGGCACACAGCATTTAGGAGTGGAATGTATGTCTAATGGGGCGGTCAGCTCCTTAACCTGAAACACAAAACACACACACACACGCATTTGGAGACGTTTACCTTAGATGACCAGGACTCATGGTTACAATGGTGATTTTCCACAACCACATGTAGTCTTTTGTTTGGAGTTAAACTTAAAAGGTTATTATAGTGTCATGCTTCTTAACCTCCTACACAGAATTGTAAGCTCAAAGATGAAAGATGGTGTTTTGAATGGTGAATTGAAATATTGTTTGGGGGCAGTAAAGTGTAGTGAGGAAAACCACTTTGACTGGATGACTGAAGTTTAAGAATGACCTCCTTATGGCTTTGTAACACACAAATGTAAATAGTTTTATCTGTGAATCTCTAAAAGTTTGTGAAAGTCAAGGTTTCTGCTCTACCATCAAAAACAAAAACCATACAATAAAACTTAAATTGAAAGAAAGACATTTAATCCTGCAAAGCTGATTGAAAAGAGGGCAATTTCGCTCCACTTCATTGTTGTCGTGAACACTAGAACTGTTCAAAGCTGCGTACAAAGAGGTTTTCATTTTCCTGTTTAGACTCAGAGTGAGAGCTTAAATCCCTCTCTCGTCTCCTTTCTTTTTGTCAGGTACCTGTTGTGTCTTCAGCTTCGTGAGGATGTGGCCTGCGGTAAACTGCCCTGTTCCTTTGTCACACATGCTCTGCTGGGGTCCTACACACTCCAGGTAGACCTATCACAATAAATACTGTATCACCCTATCAACCACTGCATGTAGCAATATTTTTCAGGCTCAATTTTTATTGCGTGTGCACATTTTCTTTGCACATGTGAGGAACATTTTGTATTTTCTTTCTTCTAAGGTATGATTTGAACTGTAGATATTGTTATAAGTAACTTGTATGACTCAATTACAGTAATTAAAAGCGCTGTACCTGATTTTTATGTTTAAAAAAATAGATTTTTTTTCAGTGGTCCAAAGTTATTCTGAGCATAATTATTCAGTTTATAAGTGCTTTTCACAACTTCCAGAAGCCAGAGCGGAGTTTTGGCATCAGGGTTATGCTAACAATGCACTTCCTGATTTTCCTACAATGAAACACTTGATGCTCACTGCTTGCAACTGGCATATTTGGACATCAACAGCTGTTTATACATTAGATCTGTACTGGCACTGGGCAAGACAAAAAAAATTACTTAAACACATGGAAACAAATCTGATACAGGGCATCTCATTTTTTCACTGTTTTATTTATTTATTGATTGCACCTCTTGTTCTTTAGCAACATTTTACAGTGACACTTAAAGGTGTACTGGCGGAGGGTCCGCTACCAACTTGTCTTCATGGAGATGTTATTGTTTTGCTTGGAATATCCCAGGGTATGACATTAAACGTATCCATCTAGCAAATATTCATTAATATCAAAATTACAATAATTCTTCCATAGAGAACAGTTCCATAGAGCCAAGCATGTGCAGGACCCTCCACTAGAAATGTTACACAGTGCGTCTTTTAAAGTAGTTTCAATGAGATTGTTTGTTGGGATATTTTCTTTAGCACTATATCACACTTCAGAATATTTTTTTGACAGGTATAACTGCAGGTAGAGCTTACATGTGCTGTTATCTGCGGGGCTGTGCATGTGGGCGACTGTCTAAACAATCTGACACTAACCTGTGTTTTGGAAATTACAGGCTGAACTTGGAGACTACGAGCCTGACCAGCCCAAGCCACTCGATTACATGAGTCAGCTGACATTTGCGCCCAATCAGAACAAAGAAATGGAGGAGAAGATTCTGGAGCTCCACAAGTCCCACAGGTCAGTGAATACAGAAAAGTCATCAATTTCAGCTTCTGGTTTACTGGTGACATATGATACAGCGTTTGCTAAATTTTCATAATTTTGAAACACATGGACGCAAAAGTGTCTCTTTATTCACCATAACTTTCTTGCTGTCCTGTCACCACCTAAATTCATAAAACAAACAAATCTTTTTGGTATTCAAAAGAGATATTTTGTCTTGTTAACTGCTATGGAAACAATACAGAAAGTTTAGTACTTGTAATCTTCGCATATTTAGAATGTGACAACAATATAAATGTAAAAAGTATAATAAACACAAGGGAAGAAAGAACACATGATTACACATCAAAGTATAAACATGATGTAAAAACATGAACGAAAGCTGCCCATTAAAAATACAAAGAGTGCCACATCTTCATTGAACATTGTTTGTGCTTGTGTTGTTCTAGGGGTATGACACCTGCTCAGGCTGATGCTCAATTTCTAGAAAACGCCAAGAAGTTGTCCATGTACGGCGTGGACCTGCACCATGCTAAGGTAACACCGGCATCCTCTTTTCTCTTTATCCTTTTCCTGTTGACAAGTGGGATTAGGGCCGGTGCCTCTGATGTGGTCAGTGCTGGTGTGTGCATGTGTGTGTGCGCGCACATGTGTGTGTATTTGTTCATTTGTGTGTATGAATGTGTGCGTCTGTGGCAGCTGTACAAACACTCGGAGGCCATCACCATGGGAACAGGCTGTCTCTCTCGGTGGGATAGAGTGCTAGCCATGGGCAGCAGGCGTGATTCTGCTCCAGAGTCTAAAGACCTCTGCACAGTGTAATAGACCAATTATTATACAAGAATGTGTGGGCATGTATTTGTCACATTGTGGGGGGGGGAAATCTGTATACACATTGCATGGGGACCTATCTGATATCTTATTCATTATTAGATCAGCTTGGTTCATAGATCAAATGCGTTAAAGGAGGTTAAAGTTTGGCAAGTATGTTTAGGTTAGATTAGTCTTCAGGACATGAATGTAAGTCATTGTAATGGCCCAGAAAGATTGAAAACCTAACCATGTGTCTGTCCCTATACAAATGTTAGGTCCCCTTTAAATTCATGCTCCAGTTGTTTTCCAATCGAAGAGGGAAGTGGTCGACCATTTTAGCAGCATTCCAAACATGTGGGAAGAGCTATTTCTGTCCTCCTCTATTTAGTCTGCACATTAATAATAACCCATTTCCAAAACAAGTATCATGAATCTAAGCCAGTTAAGTAATCATTAGTTTACAAAAATCTAATGTGTATAAAATAATGCGTTGGCCTCATAGCCATGCCCAATTAACAAATTTTGAAGTGTGATTTTTTTATGAAGTATAAACGATGTTTATGAATATAAATGATAAATGATAATACTGATACTAATTTATGCCACTGCCACAAAAAGCCCAGAGCAGACTTAAACCACAAAAAATATTCTAAATGTACAATGCTGTTAAAAATTCATGAGCTGCATTAAATAAACAGCAAAATGAAACACATTCGAGGATAATTTACATGTGTAATAAGCCATAGAAGTTATTAATTTAATGTTATAAAAATTGCTAAAAAATAACCCAGAATTCCCCGGTAGTGCAAAGAAATTGTACACATCATAAATATTCACCCCCCAAAAATCCATCTTGCATATACTAAACAATTAGTCAATATAGTAATCATTGTGACAGGCCTATGCCCAAGTTCTATTCTACTCTCCAGACCCTGTTGCATTAATTGGTGTCACTGGGTCATCCTCAGCCGATCAGAAAGACTTTTAGATAAATGGATAGCTACTGTATTGATCATGAAGGAAATTCAAGGTTCGGCAGCAGTAACATAGAAACAAACAAAGCAAGATAAAAAAGAAATGTAAAATTAGCAGTTTATTCCCTTGCATTCATCATCATCATCATTAATCAACTACAGGGATGCTTTGTACAGGCGTAAGGCATGTTGGCCAAAAAAAGCAAATTGGACCAGTTCTTATTGACATAGATGGTTTATTTTTGTATGTTCCCAAAAACCTTGAAAAATGACTTGGGCAATAATGCTATGAGCTAATGAATGTTTGTTAAAGTTGAAACGGACCAGGACCGTGATCTGTGCAAAGTAAATCTGTCTGCTTTTCGTCTCCTGGCAATAGCAGCTCTTTGTTTACTTGGGCATCTGAAAGCCAAAGGGAATGATCTGGGGTTGCATCAGTGAGTGCACTTGTGTGATCACAGGCCAAGTACTGAACCATGTCCGCGTGCAGCAACACCACGATCGATGGGTGGCTAATAGCATGCCAACGCCATGTGATGTGTGCCTGAGTCAAACTGTCCATTATCAACATATTGTATCCTCCATTAGTGCAACAGATTTTTCCTGTGTATTCACTTCTGTAATCAATAACCCTGTAACCAAATGGACTTGGACTTAAAAGCTTTGTTAGTGAATTGTGAACCTAACCACTCTAGTTGGGTGATGGGAGAACATTACTTTATCTGGATATCTGCCTGGCAGTGTTAAGCAATCGAAATTGATTTGATACGGTTCAGTAAAAAACAAAGGCTAAATCATGCCTGTGATACTAAAAGTCTTTATTAAAGCACTAAGCTTGTGCAAAGTTAATTTGAAAAACACCCATTTTACTCATCAAAACAGTGACATTGTCAAATGTATTGCAAAAACAACTTCCCTTTCTCCAAACAAGCAGCACAATGACAGGTCTTTCTCAAAATATTTTAGTAAAATACACCAAATAAATACCCAATATATATATTGCCAATATATCCATACAACAGCCCACAATGTTGATTTTGTACCAGCAATTTAAACAATATGATATATCGATATTTCAGTATACCCCTATTATGCATCTAAAGTTTTAAATGCATCCCCATAAAGACATTAAACTCACTATGACAGGTTGGACAGGTTGTATTTTACTAAAATACATAAGATAGTAATGTTTAAGCTTTCACAAAAAACTGCATACATTTTTCCCCAGTTTGGCAGTTTTTTCAGATTTCAGACTTTACTTCCTGGTTGGAAATCGTCGGATCACTCTAGGGAATTTAATAGCTGTTACCTAGCAACCATATTGTACACTATACCAATCTATACTACTGTACCAAAATGTACACAGAAATTAATATTTGCCAAATAAATGTATAAGTTAAAATGATGTTTAAAACAACAGAAAAATAAGTTTCGAGCTTGTAAATTGTTTTTCAGCTTTTCTTCACAAATAGATTTTTAATCAGGCTAAAACTATAATTTACATTTACAACACGAATTGGCCCACCAAATTAGGCAAAAATTAGAGAACTATCAAAAGCACTTTAACATGTTTTCTCATTTCATAGGACTCTGAGGCAGTTGACATCATGTTAGGAGTGTGTGCCAATGGACTCCTGGTTTACAAAGACAAACTCAGAATAAACCGATTTGCATGGCCCAAAATCCTGAAGATTTCATACAAGAGAAACAACTTCTACATCAAGATCAGACCAGGAGAGGTATGTACTCACACTGACGTTTCAACATTATGTCTTGTTTTTTGCTCAATATATTTTTCTTTTTCAGGCAGAGCAGTTTGAGAGCACAGTGGGCTTTAAGCTGCAGAACCATCGGTCGGCCAAACGACTGTGGAAAGTCTGTGTGGAGAATCACAGCTTCTTCAGGTACACTTCACACTGTAGATGACAAGACTGTTTGCTTAATAATGACACTCAGGATTATTCAGGTCATAGTATTATATAAGGTAACTAACATAAGAGCTAAAAGATTATATTTAGGTTTGCGTGATCCCAAGTTATTCCTCACTTACCTTTATGCATTCAGAGTATCTTAATTAGATTAATTTATAAGCACTTTTCTGAACCGTTTAACCTGTGATGGCAAAATGCAGGTCTAAAAACTAACATGCTAACCACACCCTTCCTGATTCTTGTACAGTAAAACACTTTATAATTAGATCCAGCCAGCACACAGCTGCCTCTTATTGTCCCCAAGAGCTGTTTATACGATGTATCTGTTCTGGGTCAAGTTAACTTTTGCTGAAATACATGGGAAGAAAATCGGATACAAGTTATTTCAGTTCAGTCTATACTGGAAAATAGTCCATTTAAATATAAAATGTGGTTATATATTACGTTTATGTTGATTTCATATAGCTGGTCACATACAAAAGCAATGGTAATCTACTGAACAGCATGAATGATGATGACTGTTTGGTCAGGGTGTTCTTAATTATGAATAAACCAAACTTCCATACTTGGCTGTTTAATCTGGGATAAACATCTGAGCTTTGTTATATATTTCATTAAGGCACAGACTAAAAAAGGTTGATAAGGCTTTGGTCTATCTCCACAGAAGGAACATAGAGATAACCAATTTGCTTTGCCTGTATAGAAAACAGTGCAATAAGCTTCAATATCCTGTCAGAGGAAGAGATTCAATATTTCTGCATGTTGTCATAGAAACACTTGTACCTCATGTTATTGCCAAACCTGAAACTCTACTGTACTGTTTTAATGCAGGTTGTCAAACTTTTCTCACCCATATTTTTAGTTACACTGATAATAGTGTCTATTTAAATTCTCTTGTATCCACTGTATAATAGCAAATTCATTGTCACACAGTACCATCTGCCTTTGAAGGTAGCTTATATGGCACGAGTCTTTTTTTACAGAGGTTGTAAATTAATTAAACCAAGGTCTAAAATGTATTTGAAAATAATATAAAACAGTAGTCCTTATTTTTTTATTTTGTGCATAATTGACTGACCTTTGCCCCTTTCACATTTTAAGAAATTGTAATTTCTACAGCCCAAATCCATTTGGTTGCAGAAATTGGCTAAGTATACAAATTGTCATATAGTTGAGTAGTTAATACCTTTGTACTCCAGTTTAATTTGTTTACATTTGAATTTGTGGTACAATATGGCTGCAGGTGGTGTTTTCTTACTGGCAAAGGCTAATAAAAACACTTTCAACACAAAATCGGTCACCATCTTAACATCTTATCTCATCCTTTCAGGTTAAACGCACCAGAACCTCCAAACAAGGCACGGTTCCTGACTCTGGGCTCAAAATTCAGATACAGCGGCAGAACACAGGCTCAGACCAGAGTGGCTAGTTCCCTCATAGACCGACCTGCGCCCAATTTTGAACGCACCTCATCTAAACGCATCAGTCGCAGTCTCGATGGAGGTAATTGTCAGATCCATAGAAAAGTTTGTTTGTGAATGCATGAAAATGAATGAAATTTGCCTGTGAAAAAGTGTGTGTGGTTTTGGATATGGACCGCTCATGGCTCAGTAGATACAGGAAATAGCTGCAGCATATGTTTCCTTTTGAACAGAGAGGGAGATAGAAAAGACAGTGGTTAAAAAGAATGTAAAAAACAAAGCGGTTTTTAAAATGAAAGAAATGCAACAGGTCTGTGCACCCTAACATTACTACACAATGATTCATGACAAATTACAGGCTAGACTTTAGCATTTTAGACATTTTTACAATTGTTTTAAGTTATTTCGTTGAATTATCAGGTTGTCTGATGCAAATATGTAATTACTATACTATGGGTAATCCTTCAGGTTGTTATCTAGCCAGCAGGCATGAACTTTTTATGGTAGCTTTTGTTACGCTTCGGCTGTGTTGCACTGCCCTCTGCTGGAGAATTTGTAACACTGCAGCATCCAGATTACAGTGTTTTTAGTTTATTATACATATATCATCAACATAAATCTGCAAATCTATGATGAATAAAATTGCACTCATATGTTTAAATTAGTTAGGTTATAAGGTTTAATCTAAAATCTTTATCCTTCAGTTGGTGGTTTTCAGATTCTAGATGCAATGCCATACTCTCAAAATTATATTTTCCTATTCATTACATTGTAGTTTCTTTTGAAATATCTAAAAGGTAAATTCACAAATGTTGAACCTGATCATTTCTATTAGTGAACTTTATTACAACAAAAATTTGCATTTTAACAACATAAATTTTTGCTTCCCTCCATGTGTATTAAATAATATAGGCCTATAGAATGCCATCCAGCAATACAAGAAAAACACCAATAGGTTGTTTTAATGCTCTAAAATGTGATGTCATAATTTCAGGCTAATTTCACAAGTGTTCATTTATGCAAACAGAGAAAATGTTTAAGTTTGTGTCAGTTTTTGTTGCATATGTATTGGCCTAGTCATTACAAAAATATTAACCATAAACCAGGTTATAAAAAATCTTCAGTCTGACAGTTAAACAGCAAAATCCATCACGATCTGCTCTCCAGCTTTATTTTAGACTATGGGGATTCTAAAATTTTTAGATGTTACATTAACAAACCTATTGCTAAAATATATTCTTGTGCTTGTTTTCCAGCACCAGTGATAAGCATCACCGACACCAGCGCAGGAGAGAATGGCCGTGAGCCTCATCTAGAGCTTAACTCTGACTCCAAGGTTTGTATCAGTACATCATATGAGGGTGTATAAAATATGTTTTTTTTTACGTGTTATGACATGTCTACAGGCTTAGAATGTTAGTATGGTTACGGTCAGGAACATATACAATGAGTTTATTATTTCTTAGGGGAATTTGGCCATTTTGCCCTGTTCACTTTTCTTCTATTATCTGTATTAATTTAATCATGTGTTCAACAATATGGGTAGTATTCATAGCGGCAGATAGACAGCAGTATTATGAGAGTTCTTTGTTCGCATGCCCCCACTTTTCCCAACACTGCTCCCTGCCCCCTCACCCTCTTACCCCCCAGCACTGTGGACTTGCCCCAGTCTCTTGCCCCTCGGTGGCTTCCTGTTGAGGCTGTTTTGACACACTATGTACTCTGCACTGCATTTTTAACCTACTGTGATGTGTTTTCACTGACTAATGCTGTGTCTCTTTTCCTCTCTTTCTCCATCACTCATTTGGTTTCTTCTTTTGCATGTTATCACTTCACAATATGTTCTTTTTATTTATTGTTTTACCTTTTTTGCCTGCTATTCCACTCTGCACACTAGTCCATGTTTATGTTTCCTCTTTCTTTCTCTTCATCATCTTCCCTCTCCTCCATCCCTCCTTCCTTGGACACAATTTCTGAGCTTGAGCGCGCCCTATCCGACATTTCCGAAGATGACACCCATACTGAAGACACTAGCGCCCCTGACAACTCATGGATCCTACCCGCCACTCTCTCCCCTCTTTGTGATTTTGACCATCTCCCCATCCTTACCCTTTCATCATCACAGCCCTCCCAAATGCCGTGTAATTCGGAGCATTTGGAAGCAGAAGAGAACTGCGAGATTGGAAGTGCAAACTGGCAGCGCTGGTACTGTCTTAAACAAAGGATCAAGTACTTTTACTACCTTTTGTGTTTTCTGGTAGTTATGGGCCAGAAAGTACACATTATGACAAAAATACTAGCAGCAATGTCAAAGAAACTGTTCACTTCAAATTTGTGTGAGGCTGCTGAAAAAGTTAAGATATTCACAGCCAGTGTCTCGAAATCAATCACTATTAACTTCAAAGTGTTCAAAAAGTACATAGTTTTAAAGTGGCATTGTTTGTTAACATATCTGGCGTACCACCTTCCTTCTAAGCTTTTAACTTGGGTTTCCACTCTCCCTTGGGTTCAAACACATCTACACCTACCTGTACTTACATCAAGCACTCTAGCTCCTGTCATCTACTCCCTTCCCCCCTCTGCCTCCTCCGCTCTCTCCTCTCAGCTCTCCTCCTATTTTCTACTCAATCGCTCCTCCCTCTCTCCCACTCTCCTCACCGCCTCCTTACACCAATACCTCCTCAACCCCTCTCCGTTCTTCCTTCCAATTCTCCTGGTGGTTTTTCTATTAGTCGTAATGCTCACTGCTAGCCAGTCATTGGTTCTGGCCCTAATTCTGGCGACGCCTCTCGGCCTTACACTGTTTTACATGGAGAGTGTGATCCCTCGCCAAAGAAGAGCAGTACTTCCTATGTTTATGACAGAAAACGCCACTGAGTTTGATGATAGCCACTTTACAGCTAATTTGAACATGCAGGAATACATGCCGTCACATTTAAGGCAACAAACATGGACTCAAGATATGTGCGATCCTGCTGCGTAGAGAAAATGAATACACTAGACCCCTACCATCTCACCCTATATTGCTTTTTCCACTATGAGGATCTCCTCCTTGCTTAAATTCTTGCTTCAGTTTTGCCCTTTGTTCTTTCCCTCAAACCTCACTGTTTTAATATGAAGAATTAGTAGTGTTCAAATACCTTTTTAAGATGTAAAATTTGTAAATAATGAGAAGACGAGTAGACTAAATATAGCAAAATATTGTAGGGTAGTCATAGTGATGCCAGCATTTTTACAAAGGCGGATGAGGATTAATAGCAGTTTTATTAATTTTTCCCCTTTCCCTTTTTAATATCGTTACCTTTTTCTATATTTTCAGAAACATACAGAGCACATTTTAGATTTTGTACTTGCTTGAGTTGCTTCTGTATAGTTGTATAGTACAGTTCAAATGTATATAAGTCGTAAATGCAGTATTGTAAATGTATTTGTTTTTCCACGTTTTGCCTTTGTGGTATGATGCCAGTTCAAACATATAATAAAGTATAACATATATGACTGTATATAGGGTTGAACCTTTAAATCTGTTATATGTACAGCAAGATGCACATGAGATAAAATGTGAATAAAATAAAAGCTAAATATTTATTGTTTTAGTTTAGTGTACTCTAGCCAATACAAAGATTAATATACACAACTCATAGAAGTGTTATTTTCAGCTTGCGGAGTTCAACAAGTGACGAATACACGTGCTAAGACGTGTCTAATATAAATCCCATTAACATTTCCCATAATCCATTTACCGTTTTAATTTTTATTCCCATATTTATTATTTTGACCATTATCACTAATATTCAAGGTGGATTTGAGTCCTGGTGATGATGAGGCTGCTACCACCCAGGTCTGTCAGCACTATACAAATCACTTATTACATAAACATAAGGTTGTATGGCTGCTAAACCTAACCTATCTCTTTCAATGGTTTTAATGCACCCAACAGTTACATGGAGACAGTAAAGCTGCTCCTTCTCAGGTTTAAACTCTTACTTGTTTTCATAGTTGTCTGTCAATCATTGGTTCTCACTTGGTTTGGTGGTTTCACAAGGTTTTATGGTCTGAATTTCCAATCAAGAAAAAGTTTAATGCAATTACAAAATCTAACTTTATGAATTCCTATTTCCTGTATTGGAAATGCAGTCCTGTATTGGCACTGTTGTTGCTGGCTGTGGCTTTTGGTTTCACATTTCAATTTATGGTGTTTTGTGGTTCTTAAAGCTTTTTGGGTTTTCAGTTTTGAGTCTTTGTATTGATTGTTTTTTCTTTTGTTCAGTATTATTTTTAGACATTCACTATTATTTGGTTCACACAGTTTCTGCATATTTTTTATTTTGCCATATGTCTGCTTTTCAGAGTTCTGTGCATGGGGACAATATTTATGTGAGGCACAGTAATTTAATGTTGGAGGTTGGTACTGGCTCCCTCTGATGGCTGAGAATAAGAACTACATGTTTCTATGTACTCTGACGCCATCAGAACTACAACTTCCTGTGTTCTGTATCAGACCGGCCTCTTGTGCTGTCAGCCTCTGTGCATGTCTTGCCTGTGTACTGAGCTTTGTAAATGCAAAGATTTTCACATGTTTTATTGTCATTTGGTTTTGTGTCTGTTCCAACAATGCAGCCACTTACAGCTAGCAGGGAACATTCTCTTGTCCATATGCTATAATCGACTAATCATGGTTGACGATGATCAAATAAGTCATATTTTGAAAATCTTAATTGTTGTCTGGACTATACAAACTGCAAAAGGAATACAAAAAGATGTTTTATATATAACAACTGTGGTGGCATCTAATTGAAATGTCTAAAAATTTGATCATTTCAGATTTTTATCAATAACACACTATACATATATATTATCTATTTGGAAGCTTTCAGTCACCATATTCAGTTAAAAATGTACTTAAAGTCTCACTGTATAGAAATAATTGTTTGACTATTAAAATAATCTAAGTTGTGACCCTAATGTGATACAAAAGTTAAAGGGGCATTGTGTAAATTTTCTGATGGTCCATCAAATACTTGTTAATAAATGTTATTGCTTTGTCTGGAATGTTTCACAGTATGGTATTAAGCCTTTCTATGTTCATTGTATTGAGACCAAACCAGACCAAGTTACAGGTCAGATCTGTGGAGAAGCAGAATGCCTGTTTTTCTAGATATTTTTGAGCTGTAAAACCATGTGTAATTGAATAAATGTAAAGTAGAGCTGTTTAATATCATACTGTGGAGCATTCCAGGTAGAGCAATGGCATATCCATAGAAACAAGCAGCTGACAGACCCCCAACAAAAAAGTTACATAGTGCATCTTTAAATCACTAATGAGATCTCTGGTGTATTTTTTAACTTGATAAACATTGCTGCTGCCCTGTTCCCATGCTGTCTGTTTACAATGGCTGCTTTGTGATAAGGTCAGAGGTGTGGGAATGTGATGTCCAATGCGTTTTTATGCATGCTTTGTGCATGTTAAGTGCTTCAGTGTTAATCAGTGTTCGGAACCTAACCCAACTAATACGTTTTCCTGTGCAGCCACATCCATCTGTGGTGACTGGCTTTATGCAAACAGTGTGAGCTATAACATACTAAAAGCAAAATGTTTTCCTTTTTTATAGAACAACATGGAACTGAAAACGGTATTAAGAGTTGTGTACGTCTGTAGACCTGTTGCAGTCATTATTATATATATTTTTGGAGCTCAGTATTCATAGCTTGTACATTTTCTCTGCACTAGTGGGGAACTTTTTATTTATTTTTTGGTAGTTTCATAATATTTGAACTGCATTTGAACTGCAGAAGATTCATTCTGCTGTTTATTTTATTAATTACTGGGATTATCCTGCTTTAAGGTGGCATACATTAGTTTCAATAATACTGTTTGAGATTAAGATGTTCTGGCTCAATATAACACACTTCAAAATCTGATATAAGTAAATAAGTCTGTAATATTTTCGTTGCACTAATACACCTACACAATAATTACTTTTCTGCTATCAACAACAGGCAATATTGTAATTTATATGAAGCAATTGTGCTGTAGAGCAAACAGACTTATTTTCTAGTCGAGCTGTGTTTGGCTGATTCTGACTCCAGAGAAGATGTGCTTTCTAAAAGGTCACAGCTGGTGTAATATCATTATCAGCTCCATGTTGTGTGTTGGTGTGAGGAAAAAATGCTTAATAAGATGGAGAAGCCTTGTTTCACTGCAGCACTGAGTCTACAAATAGTACTTCAGTTTAAAATGCCAGTACCTTTGCTGGAAACCCTCAGGGAATTAGTGTTATTTTTAAATGTTAAGTCCTCCAGTGAGACTTGGCATCCATCTTATTGTTCTTTTGATTGACAGACTGAAGTTCCTGTAATATTTTATGAACCAAGTTTGCCCCCACCCCTTCCTCTCTTTCTCTCACCTGTTACATACAAATTGTCTTACCCAAACTCCGTCCTCTCTCCCTCTTACCCCTCTTTGTCTTACCCAAACTCCCCTCCTCTCCTTACCCATCATCCCTCTACCCCAAACCCAATAGGACCATGATAAGACCCAGGATGAGGTTCTGAAACACCAAGCTAGCATTAGCCAGCTCAAGCGCTCCTTTATGGAGGCCCCGCCCCCCTCTCCTCCTCAGCCCAACCTGTGGGAGAAACGCATCACGTCCTCTCCTGCTACGATACGCGTTCAGCCCCAGCCAGTGGTACGTCTGTGGATGTTTGTGACTCTGCAACTTAAACAAAAGTGCTGGTGGTTGCAGTGTATTCATTTTTCACACTAATTCATATTTTTTTCAGCAGGATATTTGTTATAATTCATGGGTTTCAGATCTGTTATAGGTGACATTTTGACGACACTCTACCATTAATATTTTATTTTAAATTGGTATAGCAATACTCAAAATTTTTCATTATTCTGAAACCCATGGATACATCTACAGCTTATGTGTTTGTCTTATTGTGTGGAAACTAGTGCACACATCTTTCTATATTCTCTTCTATCTCTGTGTTCTTATGTCTCTGTAGAGTCTTGAAGATGAAATAGCATCAATTCTTTTTGGTACAAACTCTGGATATTTCTCTGGTCTTTACACCTCAACATCTTTGTCTTCACACTCTGCCAATGAGGTGCTCCTGCTAGCTTCATTAGCATGTAGTTTGATTGCACTGTCATGTTCTACTGGAACTGGAATTCCTGCTCCTGGCCTGTTTTTCTAGCATATATTATTATGCTAAGCAGATGAAATACCCATATTCCCTGATTTAGGAATGCTTGCAGTATTTTGTACCATCAAGCATTCAGTCTTAATGAGCACTTTAAGTCATTCTAAGCATGGTCAATTAATATGCAGTACATGTTTAGCACAAGCTGTGAATGCTATAGAGGACAATAGCTGTTTAGATGAAGCCTTTGGCATGTATTGTCTATAAAATGCTGTAGGAAATTGCTTTGCTTTGTTATCGTTTACCTGTTTGATGTTTTGTCAAACAGATGATATGCTTTTTTTGTGTATGTTGTTTACCTAAACACTATTTTCTTTTTTTCCAGCTCCTTTCTTTATTTCGTCTTTTTTGTTTTTTTCCCCCAACAATGTTTAATCCAAGTATTTTGTGCAATGAAAGAAAAATGTGATAGAATGTACAGGAGATGATTAAATTACATATACAGTACAACCCTTAACCCTTATTGTTAATGGTGGCATTTTAGGTTGCCATAGGGATGTCATCCATCTTGTGTGATTATCATGGAAACATTTTTGTTGTGCAGGTCACCGTGTCCCAAACAGAAACTTCTCCAGTCGAAATCGTGACCCCTGAACCCAAAGAACCAGTTAAGGTGCCCCTAACTTTTAATGTTGTCTTTCCATACAGATTTCATGGTTTTCCTCATCCTCCATTGGCTACATCTGTCCGTCCATGCTGTGTACATTTTAACGTGTTTTCAAAGTTTCCACAGTTTGTCATTTTTTAACTCTTTATTTTCAGTGAAACCTGTGTATTTGTATCCCCAATGATCATTTTATGCTTTTGTTTCTGTTTCCATGCGTCTGTTGTGTGTATGTGCATCTCATTGTGAAACATGCGTGTGTGTGTGTGTGTGTGTGTTGAATGTGTGCATATAGACCGCTGAAGTTGAAATTGAAGAAACCGTTGTTGTCCAAGAAGTTTCCAAGACCACCAAGCCTGTGATCGTAACAGTTGAAAAAGTGCCGAGCGAGCCAGTGGTGAAGATAGAAGAGGCCATGACAGTAACTGAGGAAGAGAAATCCTGTAAACGAGAAAGTGTATCATCTGAAAGCGAAAGTGAAGAAGAAGCAGAGTACCATCCGAATGTTAGCATTTCTATATCTCATACCCAAATACCAGAGGAGAAAGAGGAAGAGATAGAAGAGCAGGAGAAGCAAGTGAAAAACGACACACCAGCTGATTTGCCCCCCATCACGCAAGACACACCCCCAGCTGAGGTACAAGAAGTAGCAGAAGAGACCAAAGATGTAGTTGAATCCAAAGAAGAAGTAGTGGTGGTAGAGGAGAAACCAGCCGCAGAGCCTGAGATGGAAGAAAGCACGGATGACCCCATGGTGACCCCTGAAGAAGCCCCCAACGGCCTCCCATTGCCTGACGACGCTCCAGATGCTACACTAGAAGAAGAGCCCAAAATGAATGGCCAGCCTGTGACTGTGGAGACAGTGGAGACAGAGCGCCACCCACAGGTTATTTGTTGCACTGAGGTAAATTCATCTCCACGGCGACTACGAAAACGCCCATCAGCTTTTCCCAAACGTAGACACCCATTTGGCTCCTCCTACTTCCTACTTTCCGCAGTGCTGGTTTTTCCTTCCTGCTTGCATGAATATATTTAAGCCCCATACTATTAGGCAACCACATTATTCATATCAATATAATGTTTATGAAGCCATTTTAAGTTAAGAGACATGTCTGAGTGCTGGTGTTTCATTACTGTCATATTCACCATTATACAATTCCGTATTTAATGGATAATATGATTAATATATAGTAGCCAACTTTCCATAGAGCTTTACATTATTGTGCAAAAATGGGGCTTAATTTGGGATTGCATCGTGCTTTGGGGTGCATGCTTTTGCCTTGTTATACTGTGTGTGCATGTTTTTGTATTGTGTGTCCTTCACATGTTTGGCAGTGTTGTTTCCCTTTGGCCATTTTAAAAACTATTACTAGAAACATTATTGCCACACATTTTAGAATTTCAGTCATTTCAGTGCCATCTATGCATGTTTACGTTTTGAGCACATTTCATTCATTCACAGGTTTGTTTTTCATCCCACTGACTTTTTATGTTTTATTTATGTTTGTAATGTGGTGTTCTCGAGTCTTGGGTGTCATATTGTAACTGTGTTGATGTTGGACCACACTACATTGCATGAGCCATCTCATTACTGTTGTCTTTCTGCTCTTTAATGAAAGACTATTGGGGATGCTGTTTTTGCATGCTTTTCGCTCGTTTACGCCAAGTGCTTAGAAGCTTTTTATAGCTCATTGCATTCAAAAAACATATCTTTTACTATGTTAGTTACAAATGATCAAAATACTAACAGTCTAATCCTTTTTGTATTAACCTCTTTCTTCCCCCCACTTTCTCTCCTTTCTCCTTCCTCCTCTTTAGCCTCCGGTGGTAAAGACAGAGATGGTGACTATTTCAGACACGTTTGCAGCCCAGAAAACTGAGATAGCCACAAAGGAAGTGCCCATCGTTCACACGGAAACCAAGACCATCACATATGAAGCCGCACAGGTGCACAATACAGCCAGGCACACTAGAGACGCTTGAGTAAATAATAATGCATGACTTCAATGGCTTATTTCTCCACAGGAATATAAACTAGATCCATTACTATTTACTGTCAGTTCAAAAGTTTAATACAATGCTTTCTTCTGTTGTTTCAGTTGGAAGGAAATGGCGATGCCGAGCCCGGAGTGTTGATGACTGCTCAGACAATCACCTCTGAATCGCTGTGTACCACAACAACCACACACATTACCAAGGTTTGTGTTCAAATAACAGTTCTGTCTCTTGTCCTCATTTAAACTATAAAAGGCCCATTTATTCCATTTTATGATCTATGTTAGAATATTTTCTCCTCATCACAAATGTACCTGGAGTTGTGTCTTGTTTCATTCACAGACACACACACACACACACACACACACACCCTGCATATTTGGTTATTATCTCCAACTGAAAGCACTGTTCTACCTTATTATGTGTTAATACAGTAAGTGCCCCACTGTGTTTTTAAATTCCATATGCCTTTTTATGTATATTTCAGTTTGAGATGTTATTTAATAAGTATTTTTTGAAATACTAGCAAAAATCCAATTTCTACTCCTATTAAGCACAGAGACAATTTCTTTTTTTCTGTTGTACCCCATTTAACCCCAGACTGCACTTTGGGAACAACTGAACTAAACGTATGATTTCTTTTGTGCTTTCAGACTCTAAAGGGTGGACTCTCAGAAACCAGGATTGAGAAGCGCATCGTCATCACCGGGGACTGTGACATTGACCACGATGAGGTCAGTTTTATTCACACAACAGGTCATAGATTCTTTCATAGTCCAACATGGTCCACTGTTTTTATTATTAGCTGCTTCAGGTGATATTTGAATGAAGTTCTGGTGTCAAGTGGTGCATTGTCTGTTCATGAACTAATTGATTTGGAATTCAAAACCAAGACACTTTTTTATTTATTCTACATACATTTGAAATCATTTTATTTTAATTTATCCACTATTTATGTTGAATTTTTGTCTTGCTATTGAGTTCTCATGAAATATTTAAAGCTTGGTAACATTTTTTCACACATAAAAACTTGATTATTTGATACATGCATCTTAACCATAGACTGTATAAAGAATTGGACTAAGGGTGTATGATGTCACCCATAGCGTTTGGCTCCAGTCCAATAAAATTCATCAAGGCCAGTAGCTATAGGACAAAATCTGGAGCAGAGTTCCATATTAGGAATAGGAATTTATTTACGGACAGAACAGAGAAATAAAAACACCAGGATCATTTAGAGCCGGCTAACATTTTAAGACTAAAATCATGAGGCTCACTACAATAGTTACAGAGAGAGGGGCGACAATTTTTCAATGTAAAGTCAACTGGAAACATCGGAGTTGATGGAGCTTCCCATGCTCACCTCCTATTTCGAATGTGGCAGCTAGCGGGTTAGCCATGTCCATTTATATATAGTCTATGATCCTAACTGCATGGTGCCTTATAGTCTTATACATGGTCATTTATGTTGCTTGTTTGTCTTCTGCTGGATTTAAACATGAGCAAATGTAAGAAATACAAACAAACTTACATTTGACACAATCAGATTCTCATTAATCTGATTTGATGATCCAAAAAAAAAACAACCTTGGATCAGTAACTTAATTTATAAATCCAGCATTTGTGTCATTTTCTGTTTTTGCTTCTTTTGTTTACGTTTCCCGCACCACTGCCTGCTGTGTGTGATGCTGACCCTGTGTGGTTGCCCGTGGCCACTACAGGCTCTAGCCCAGGCCATAAAGGAGGCAAAAGAGCAGCATCCTGACATGTCTGTAACCCGAGTGGTGGTTCATAAAGAGACTGAATTGGCTGACGAGGAGGATTGACTGACACAGGTAATCACAGAAAGTGGAGAAGTAGTAACATCGAATAGGTGATATTGGCAAAATTGTATCACTTGAAATTTTTAGGGTTATTTTGTTGACAGTATTCAGATTTGCAATTTATCGTGGTTCATGTATCACACAAAAAGTGGATTGTAAAAATAAAACACAACAGTAAATAAGTATGACTATTTTAAAAGATAAGACTTTAATTGATCGGATTTCTTCTATTTTTGATCAATTGTGTGTTAGAAACAAAATAAAAATGAATTTCAATGTTTATTTCTTAAAACAGACTATCAATACAAATAATACTACAGACTAATTTGCCATTTAACACAAAAACACAGTAAAATGGCTGTCTTCAAAGTCTTAACTCTCAAACCAGATGACTTTACTGACATGACAAGAATCATTGACCATTAGAAACCTCTCAGTCTCAGTTAGAATTCAAGTCGCTCGGCAATCCCTATAAACAACACAATATTATACTTTTTTCAATTTATCTTCCACCTCTATAGCTGTTGAACTTTATAAAGTTTGGATGTTGTCAGATCCTGTGGCCAAGTGGTGCTCTGTTTCTAAATGAATTCTTTATACTTTTGCAGAGCTGAAGTGGCCATGGTGACCTTTGACCCACAACCACTCTGAGAAACCTTGACTGAGAAGGAGAGGACACATCTAAACCTCTGATTTCCAAAACAAAGAAAAATAATATCCCCGCTGTCTCCGAGGGAACAAAAGAACCACTTTGTTAGCATAACATTTGTAGCATGTTTTTATTTTTTTAATAGTGAGTTCTCTTTAACTGTTTATTTTACAAAGAAAGAAGTTAGTGTGTCTTATGTGTCACAGAATGAAAATCTATAGGGATGCACTGATAATCAAAGAAGAGAGTAGATATGAGGCTAACCTGGTAAATTATTGTACTGTTCGGCAGTACTACAACATGGGACCTTTCTGATGGAAGCTTGTTTGGGGGAAATTCATTGCCCTTTGTCACTACATGTAAATACAGAATGTGTTTACCAAGCAGAGTGGTTACAGTTAACAGTTCACAGCTTTCAATAGGACGTCAACACTTTTTTCTACTGTTTTTGTTTTGTTTTTCTATAAAAAAAAATTTTCAACCTCATTCCTAATGTGACAAGAAGGTACAGCTATTTTATAAATTCTTTTAAAATTGACATATTTGGAAAATGTATCCTAATGATAAATAAACATTGGTTTTAAAGCATTTAACATTTTTCAAAACATTTTCAGATGTGATCATTCAGTGTATCCGTTTATTACATTTTGGCCAAAAAAGTGGGAGATAGACCTGACTGGGAGAGATAAGCTGTACACTTTTTTAATTGGGAAAATTAAATGGGAGATTGTTCATGTAACACTTTAATTCAGATGAAATATATAAAGCACTTAATCTGCTTTATCACATTTAAACAAGAGTAGTGAACGTAACTTGCTTCATAGAATTCATTTGTTTTAAATGCATTTAAAATGTACTGTCTTGATATGTTTAGGTCTAGGCCTCCATGACTATTCCGTTCTGGTTAAGAAGAACATTCAATCACAGCTTTTAGTTTTAACTTTTGGTCTAAACTTAACATTCAAAATGGTTACAACATGACTAAAAGGACACAGTGCCATGTGAAGGGATGTTCAGATGTTTTTGTTGGTCATAATACTCAAAGCAGTTTGAGAAATGCCACAGTGAAATGTAACAACTTTGACTGGACTTGCATTTAATGTTTATTTTGAGCCACCTGAAATTTGACCACTGCTGACTGACTCAAAATGTGGACTGATTAAGTGGTTTTATTTATAACATTCATTGTAATTATTCAGGCTTTTACTGGGCACATTAGCTTTGCTGTTACTACGCCGTTAATGACATTCCACACAAGCTTTAACCTCTAGTTACAAAGAGGCAAAACAGTAGAAAATGAATTTAAGAAGTTGATGTTGGGCAGCTGTGGAGGATCGCGCTTTTCCAAAAATGTTTTGGTTTAATTTTACTTTTGTCTTCTTTGTAAAACTAGTCTAGCTCTGACTGCTGGGCCATGATTTCAATATTGTCAATTGTTTGAAGAAAACATCCCAAGTTCCAGCCGTTGTATTTCCTTTTCCATGACATTGTCTTTTCTTGGGCTTGGGCCTTACCACTGTTAGTCTGATCACAGGAGCTTTGGGGTGTATGGTTCTGGTTTTCAAAAAATGAATAGATATTTTGATTAGTTTTTATTGTGTACTTAAAAAGAACATCTTTAAAAATATCCACATATTTTTTATTAAAATTTGAATAACATGAATGAACAGGTGACATACAGTGAAACCAAATTTTCTCAAAAATATGTGGAATATATTCATAAAAATGTAATGGTAAAACCAGCCATGTGCCCTATTGTTTTCCTTTTAGCCATTGGATAATTGCAGTAGAACTTTATCTAGCAGTTTCAGTGTCTTGTGTCTCCCCACACACATCCACAGATTCCTTGTGTTACACTGTTTAATAATAAAGCATTGTTATATTTTATGAGTGCACTACTGTTCTTTTTCTTCTATTTATTAACTATTTTTTCTTGATCAGTTTTACTCCATTATAGTATGTTTTATGAGTTACATTCAAAAGTTTTAACAAAAAGAAAAAATGGTAGATACACAAACTTAAGAAAGTAATATGCAATTGAAATACAGGTTTATACCAGCAAAAATGCTTCAGAAGTCCAATATACAAACGTAACATGGTAGACATAGACTGTATGTATGTAAGTATACATACTTGTATATATGCTTTTATAAACAGGAAGGCTGCAGTTTTCTTCTGCTTATCTCTCACATAAAATAATCCTTCAGAGACCGCTGTAATGTAAATCCAGTCAGGTGTGGATCATAAACTCTTACATTCTGCACTTCTGGAGTTCAGCCTGGTGAGGGCGCTCCTCCTCAGACTCATCGACAGCTCTGTTTCAACTAGAGAAAACAGGAAAGAAAATTCTTGCACTTGAGGTTTATTTTACAGTACAACATTCTTTACATCGATTATTTAACAAATTATATTAAACGTCTTATTTTTATGTAAAAGTGGCTAATAATAGGCCATTTTAGTTGTCAACCACGAACAACTGTAACGACTTCCAAAATGGTATGTTTTGTGTCTATGAAAGCTACATTTTTCAAATTAAATTCATGTATTGGTGCCACTATTTGGAAAAATAAACTTTAGTTACTTTTTTATTTTTCATTTATGTATTTATTTTGGGGCAAGTAACCAATTTACATTATTTTAGAATGGAACAAAAACAAACAAACAACAACAACAAAAAAACAAACAAACAAAAAAAAAAGGCCTTTTTATGGGTTTCAGCTTTCGACATTTTGAAAACTTTTTCCTTTTCAAGATATAACATTAATACCATAGACTGTCTATGGTTAATACTGTCAATGGTACTGATTTCTCATTATTATGAAACCCGTGGATAGACCTATCTGCCCCAGGGTTTCTATAGGACTAGACATTTCTCTCATTCTTACCCTGTCTGAGTTTCCAGTGAAAGTAAATGATGAGCTGGAGGAGAATGAGACACACAGAGATGAACAGCACAAGTCCACAGAGCCCCAGAGGAAACGGGATGCCCTCCCCTGAGCCTGAGTCAGTGAAGTGTCTGAAGAACAAAGCCAGGTCAGCCCAGGGCGCAGCTAAAACCCCCATCACCAATCCAGGACACTGCAGAATACAACAGGTAAGGATAGAAATATGAAGTTTGGTCGTTTCGCTTTCAGTTTTTTCTGTTTGGGGGTCTGCCACCTGCTTGTCTCCATGGAGATGTTATTACTTGGCCTGGAATGTTCAACAATTTGGCATTGAACTTAAATATTACATTAAAGTTTTTTCCATGGAGACAAGCAGGTGATATTACAGGTCAGATCTGTGGATTGGCAAGACCTTTCATGGCAATAATTTATGTTTTTCAAGGTATTTTTAGCAATAAATATACCCATAGTTGAATAAATACATGATGGAAAACTTTAATCTCAGCAATAACTACTCCATGGAGACAGAAAGGTGGTATATCTTCCACCAGAAAAGTTACATAGTTAATACAGTTAAATACACAATGGTATGGTATGGTATGATCAGAATTCAATGACTAATCTGATAAATTAATCTTTTAAAATACACACAAAATCGAAGTGAGTTTAACGTTGGAAAATGCTGTTATAATCTAAGTAATAACACCTCAAACCATGAACATGCATTCCTCAAATTAGCTTAAACTGGTATATTTTAAGTTTTTTGTAGTATTAGCATTTTTTACAATCTAAAAGTTAACCTAACAGCTTGTATACATTTCACTAATTGGTCATTAACTTTACAATATTCAAGTATTGATAAGTATGTGTTGAGTGATTTGTAGTAGTTTGCATGTACTTACACTGTGTTCCTGAAAAAATCAGACAATATTTCAAATTCTTCTCAACTCCATTCGGAATCCGACGTCAGAATTTGTGAAGAAAAACATCTGTGCCCATATAGAGCTAATAAAACTCATAAGTAAACACATAATTGTCTCAGATTCACATATTCATAACGTGATTCTGTTTCCGTTCACAATACCTTCTGTGTATTGTGGGTCATTTGTAGCAGCTCTTGTGGTAGCTGAACTTTGCTCAGGTCCAACAGTCAAAGCTTGTGATTTGCTAAGAAGATTAGCTTAGAACTACAGGCTAGAGAATGTGGTGATAAATGTGTATATGGCACATTATATTCAAGGTTAACTTTTCTGCTAACGTATTATATTTTTTATTTTACATGGTTCTTATTATTAGACATTGTTTTGTTTGTTCTCAAAGGCAACTTATTAAATCTACTGAAATCTTTCTCACTCTTTTCTTCTCATGCCAGTTGACATTTACTGGGGATATTCGATATATTGCCAGCAATATTAAGGGGATTATTCTTGTTTTTTTTAGGTCAGAGTAGCTACATTTTCCAGACATGTCGACACAATATTTTTATGCTATTTTTCCCATTTCTATTAAAGCTAGAAGAGTAATGAAGCTAAAGGGGTTTTGTTATTCTTGCACAGTTCAATAATTTATAATATATCTGTGAAAATACATTCTGTTATTACTTTTACGAAATAGAAAAGCTAATTTAGGAACTTAACTACAACTTTACGTTGTTGGGGCTTGCTATAGGTTTAAAAATATGAATCACTATCACTTGAAATATCTGGCCATCCCAAATTCTTTCCCAAATAGAGGTTCTTTTGAACAGACCAGAATTAAATAATGTTGGAAAACCATAATGATCCTCTTTGAAGTAATCCAAAATTCTTGTTGTTAAAAAAACTATAGGAGCTATATTTTTGTTACAGTTTCACTGAACCCCCCTGACTCCTCTTTGTCTGCCTCCTGGCTCATAAAGTGCTTGAGCTGTATCAGAAAACATATTTATCTGCTTCCTGCTTTGTGCCAAATTGGAGACAGTATTTAGAGTGTGTTATCTCTCTGTGGTCCCACTTCTACCTCCTCTCGTCTCTTTCTCTTATCTTCAAAACACAAAAGATCATTTTCTGCTCCTTAAGGCCATATTGATCAAACACAATTGGATTAGGTTAAGCCTGGATTGAATCAACCTTGACTTGTTTGTTATAGCAAAACAAGGACACTGTAGGACGTACTGTACAATGTATTGAGTCGTATAGTCTTTATATAATTTAGGTTCACCATTATATTATGCCAGCTGGTCAATGCAGACATACATTGGATAAATACTTTAAATAATTGATTTAAATAGCACCTTTCAAAACTCAAGATGCTTTACAGTGCACCATTTAAAGACGAGGCTGCCAATCTGCGCCATCTGCCTCTCCACAACCAACACTTGCGCACACACCACTTTCTAGGTATTGTGTGTGAAATGTCTTGCGCAAGGACCCAACCGTTTTCACTAGAGCCACTGGCGTCCCACTGTGGAACCTGGTATTCCCGCCGTCTCCCATCCAAGTACTAACCAGAACCAGCACGAAATTGGAGAATCTTTAAATATCAATAAAGGTACAGAGGTATTGAGTACTGTACAGAGGACTTGCAATTTCCATAATGGCCACTAGGTGCTGTCCTGATCTTAAACACTGGACCTTTAAATGCCATATAATCACTTTTAATATTTTAATAACACATTCATATTTTATTTGTACGGTAACTGTCACACACCTGCTCTATCACACAACAGAACTCATACCACATGTAGCTGCATTCTGTCTCTCCAGATGCTTCAAACCACTGAAACAAAAATGTCTTTAAACGCAGCTTCCATCACAAAGTTAACAATCTATTCTTCTTGTTTGTTCTTCTTTGTTGTGGTAAAAAAAAAAAAAAAAAAGAAAAATAACTAAATAAAAGAACAGAGAAATCTCCCTGTCATGGCAGTATTTTGATGCTCGTTTATCTCGGCGTTGCTGCCAGGCGGTACCTCATTAAAGTGCACTGTGCTGTTTTCCCATGAGGCCGTGGGGGAGCGGTGAAGGTGGGAAAATCAGCCACGTTATTTGGTTCAGTTGCTGTGCGAAGTGCTGCTTAATTGAGTGATGCTGTCGTCAGGATCAATGCTATTGATTGGGTTTGTTGTTTCTCTGATTGATTTGGAGATGGGGGGGACTATATGCAGTTTCAGGTAGACAGAAAGTTACACAGGTAGAAATGTATTTTGACTTACTCTTAAATCATTCATATTTTAAGAGCGTGACATGAATAAACCCTTTTGTAAATGAAAAGAAATCAATACAGCAAAAGTATAAATAAGTTTATAACTTTAGTACAAGTAATACTGGAAAGATTTAGGGCTATTACTTATTACCTTTAGGGTAGAGCCAACATGACTTAAAGAAGACATTTTAGTTATAATGGATGACACAAATGGATAAAGAGCTTTTTTGGCAATATTGATCTAAAACAACTTGATAAAAGAAAGGGGGTCTAGACTTCCGGTTAAAAACTACAGCTCTGATTTCTGCCTGCCTCTTCTTATTATGTCACTATAAACATCATCACAAAAATGAATATCTACTTTTCATACTAGTTTTAGTTAAAGTCAAGGTTAAGGTCCTCTGCATTTGACCCATCCTTCAATGCTCAGGGGCCAATCTCTGTGATTTGGTTGCTGGGCTTGGTCAGGACTACCTTAGTTGGTACGTTAAAAGGGGGAAACTGGAGTGCCCGGATTAAATATTGCCTGACCAGCCAGTCCCTTTGAATTGGACAAAAGAGCGTGGAAAAACCTTCGTCCAAATTTTAGGTGATCCAACCACAGTTTCTAATTTGTAACACGTGTCTCTCAAATGCGGAAGACACCTCCTATCGAAAATTCTTTTAAGTAATATTTGGGGGTTCCATTGTTGATTCTGTAAAAATCTGCAGCTTTTCTCAGTCCCTTGTAGATTCTCCTTTTTTATGTACAAGTTGCTAAATTTGTTTTTGAAGTGAACTGAGAATGCGTCTTCTCTAATTGGTTAATCCACCTGTCAATCATGCCCTCTGAAATCAGGGAGACAGGATTTGGCTCCAGATCCACTTGTCTTTGTAAAGTTTTGTTAAAGTGTGTGGTTCTCCTGGCCAGGTAAGAGGAAACCCACCCAGACACAGGGAGAAATATACAAACTCTGCACAGGAACCTTCTTGCTCGTGAGTGCTATGGCCATTCAGCCACCCTGGTGTCGTATTTTGGTTTCAATTTTTATTTATTTATTTTTTTTACAATAATTCTTGACAGTCATTTCAAACTCTGCCCTGTGACTCACTGGTAGAGAAACAGTGCATATGCAATTCTGCACAGCTCACTCCCCCCTGTTCTTCCAGTTCCTTCTCCCATATTTCCCTGTTCGCCTGTCAATCACAACAGTGTATGACCCCTCACGTTTCTCCTTCCCTACATTATATTCAAGGTTAACTACGGACTTTTTAGCTGATGTTGCTTTATATTTTTATTATACATGGTTCTTAAAGGTGTGCTGTGTAACTTTTCTGATGGACTGCTTGTCTCCATGGAGATGTTGCTTTACCCCCCTCTCTGTCTGTAGTCTTCTTGTGAGTGGTGATGCAGCAGAGAATCCGCTGTATTTCTGAGCAGTCCGCCGCGTGGGTGGGTTTGGCTCTGCGTGTGCGTCTAAGTAACTGTGGGAAACGAATCCTGCGCTTTATTGATCTACACCAAGATGAAACAACTCATACTCTCCATCACTAACACAGCTGTCTAATTGGGAGGAGCTGTATCACGTTAATGACGATAAAAGCAGTATTCTTTACCTCTCTTTCTTCTCTCTTTCTCCCTGTTTCTCTCTAGCTCTTCTCTCTCCCCCTCTCTCTCTCTCCCTCTCTTCTGTCTCCTAATCTCTCCTCCTCTCTCTCTCGCCCTGTTTCTCCCTCACTCTTCTCTCTCTCTCTTTTGTCTCTCCCCAATATCTCTTTTCTCTTCTATCTCTCCCTCTCTCTGTCTATCTATGTCTCTCTTCTCCTCCGCTATCTCTCTCTCCCTCCTCCTCTCTCTCTCTTTCTCTCCTCCTCTCACTCTCTCTCTCTCCTCCTCTCTCTCTCTCTCACTCTCCCTCTTTCTCTCCTCCTCTCTCTCTCTCTCTCTCTCTTTCTCCTATCTCTCTCCTCCTTCTCCTCTCTCTCTGTCTCTCTCTCTCTGTCTTTCTCTCTCTCTTTCTCTCTCGTGTCTCTCTCTCTCTCCTATTCTCTCTTTCTCTTTCCTCCCGTCCTGTCCGGTCCTGTCGTCTCCTTTTTCCTCCCCTCCTTGAGTCGTCACCTTACCGTGGTGGAAGGGTTTTGGAGCCTGAATGATCCCAGGAGCCGTGCTGCTGGGGGACAGCTCACACCAAGAGCGGCTCTCTCTCTCCTCCTTCTCTCTCTCTCCCTCTCATCTTTCTACTTCTCTCTTCCTCTCTCTCTCCCTTCCTCTCATCTTTCTACTTCTCTATCTCCTTCTTTCTTTCTTGTTCTTCTCTCTCTCCTTCTCTTTCTTCCTGTTTCTCTCCCTTTCTCTCCCTTTCTCTCTCTATCCTCCATCTCGTGCGCCATCTCTCGTTTTATTGATGATTTTACTGAGATGCTTTCAGTTGTTTGCACAGACGTTGATGGTTTAGTCATTACAGGTGATTTTAATGTACATGTGGATAATGTGTGTGACAAAAATGCCAAAGAGCTTAGTGTTGTCCTTGAAACTTTTGGTCTGACTCAGCATGTCAGTGAGCCCACTCACAACAGAGGGCACACTCTGGACCTGCTCATTACAAAGGGTGTAAATGTTTCAAATGTCAATGTGGTTGATGTTGCTCTGTCTGATCATTTCTGTGTCTTCTTTGACCTGTCTGTTATTCCCAAACCACCGGCTGCTCCTACAGTTGTTCGAAGAAGACACAGAAATGATAACACAGGTGCACTGTTCATGGAAATGATAAATTTTGAAATTGCCTCATGTTCTAATGTTGATGATGTGTTGAACTCTGTGA